AGTCTCAGTATCTTCACTAGGATAATTATTTTGCATTTTTCTTGTCGAGCAAATACTTGATACTTCTTGTAGAATACTACTTACTGAATGACAGTACCAATATTTGTTTTTCAAGGCACATTTGATGATATTTTTAATGTAATATTCTTGAGAATGGAAGAAAACTCAAATATCGGAGAAAATTGAAACTGTAACCCATACAACGCCTATATATCGGCAAAAACATAATTTGATTTTCTATAACATGGTGCAAAAAAATACAGGGTGTTCCACTTGAATTTGAAAAGCTTTGTCGGTTTTAAATTTTCAAAATGTAACCTGAAAAATCGGACACTTTGTATAATTTTCTTCAGGTAATTTTGATAGTAGAATGTAGTGCATCTTATTCTTACGTTCTTTGCGTGTTCCGAAAAGCAAGTGAAAGCTTCCAGAACGAGGAGAGATATAAAGGAATTTTCGAAACGCTTGCATCTGTCAAAATTTTTATAAAATGTCGATTATCTCGAAAACGGTTAGATTTAAATACAGGAAAACTTTAACATTTTTGATTCATTTTTATTCTATTTTGTCGATAATATAATAATATACAGGGTGTTCCATTTAAAATAACCAAGTTGACAACTATTTCTGGTACAACCGGAAGTACTGGCATTATTATCATTCAAGAAAGCGTATTTGATAACCTCCGTAAACAAAATTTCAGAGACACATTACTTTTGGTTTTTCTGAAACGTTTATAGGCCACTTACCGTGAAGAACCCTGTACAGGGTGTCCCACTAAGGTTGGCGAGGTACGATACTAGGGAAAGTATAGGCCTTAGAACTTCGGGAAAAAAATTTTGATTAATTAATCAACCAAGAGAAATCGCTGGAAATAGTTTTCAAGTTCGTAGCTCGACCGCAAGGGGGCGCAATCTACATAACAAAACATAGAGTTGAATTTTTCTTAGAAATGTTTCCTATTCAGGTATATTAAATAGTACAAATATGGATAGTCGGATTCATTGCGCATAACTTTCGTTATTGCCATTTTGTTCTATCTCGACAGAAAGGCTGGGGGAAGCCCCTAATGATCAGAAAAATGCATTTTTTTAAGGATTGGCTCATCAAAAGCCCATAGTGTTGTACCTCGTTGGAAAGGTCTTTTCATGCATGAATGCGTAATGTCATTTACCTCAACATGAAAACCTATACATGGCCTTATTTCAAAAGAATGCCGTTATATGGATTTTTCTCAAAAATTTTGGACGCAATATGCTATAGTTTTCTTTACATAAATGAATTTAGCATAAAATTGATGGATATAGTATAAGTCTGAAATTTCTAACGAAAGTGTTGTTTATTTATTGAAATAACAGGATAAAACTTTTTATAGATTAGTTTGAAGAGCATAAAAATAGCTACATTTTGACGGCAAAAAGGGTTCGATATTTTTTTTATCAAGTTATTAGCAAATTAGTGAGCAGAAAATAAACAATGGTAATGAAAAGACATTTAAACACCAAAACAAAATGCGAAGCTCTACTAGGGCCTCTACTTTCTCTAATATTGTACCCTGCCGACCTTAGTGGAACACCCTGTATATCTGTTAACACAAAAAATAGAAATATTTTAGATTCAGACGTCGAATAAACCCTTTGAGGAATAAATCTCAAAACATTCTAATCCCTTTCTAATCTATGTAATACTCGTATAAATAAATAGAAGGATCAGCTTGCGTCCCTAGACTTTTTTACGAAAAAGTGTCGCCACTTGGCTCCTGGTGTGCAAGGCATGTGTTGTGAAAGCCTAACAACGTTCTAACTTCTGTATTTGAATAAACGTGGAGGCCATAAATCAAACGAGACAAATACGTTGCACCCGGTCTCCAATAATATTTGCCGACATACCGTCCCTATTTTGACAGGATAACGATACGGCGATAACGAAATATGCCAAGAATTTAAAAAAAAAAATTAGAAACAGTAGAAACGAAATTTTGATCAGCTAATGCGGCGCTGCATTTTCTATTAACTATTTTATGAATTACACTATGTGTTGATGTTAGTTGTCCATTCGTCCCTGAATAAATTAAATGAATAAATATTTAAATCAGGTTTTGAACGATCAAAGCCTATGCTCTATAATCACCACAACAATATAATATTTATGAATGAGGCCTAAATAATGTTCCCCTGTCAATTAAAGTGTTGTTTGTTTTAATGAAGCAAATTGGTTTTAATTATAAACATGTAAATTTATCGTTATTTTGTTTACATTTTTCGGATACTTACCCGAATTTTTTTAAACACCCATTTAGAGAAATACTCAGACGTTTTAAAATGCATAAAAAACTAAAAGAAAATTGTATGATTGATATTTTTTTAACATAAAATAAAATTTTATAGAGATTTTCTTTTAATAAATAGAGCTTTTCGAATTATAAGTAGAACAATGCCAGCATTCATAGAACAGAAAATTATAATTAAATTAAGCATTTCTTCTCCATAACACTTTGGCCTTTGGCGGCATCAACAAAGTGTCTTAATTACAAAATCGTGAGAACAGCTGCTTCACTTTCGTCTATTCGTGGATTTACTACACAATGTTTACAATAAATAAATAAAAACATAATAATTAAGGATCTATAAACATCTTCGGATGTAAATAATAATAATTTTTTAAATTTTAGGTCAATATATTTACTTATACTATACAGGGTGTTTCACTGTAAGTGGCCTATTAAAAGTTTCAGATAAACCGAAAATAATATGACTGACATTTTGTTTACGGGGGTTATCAGATATATTCTCTTCAATGAAAATAGTGCCATCAACATAGCACTTCCGGTTATATTAGTTATTTACTGGAAAGAACGGTATGAAAGCTGTTTGACAGAGACAGTCTCAATATCATAAGTACTCATATATTTTGAAATACATATATTGAAAACTAATAGTGAATTTGATTTTAAATTTATTTGTCAGTAACATGTACAGGGTGATTCACTATATTTTGACCCCCCCCCATTAACTTTTATGTTTTAAGAGTTATAAAAAATGTGAAATACAAAAGTTGGACGAGTTTTCGAAAGTGATAGTAGAAAAACAAATGACGTCCAAACAAAATGTACCCTGTATATTTTTTACATATTTGGATAGAACGTTACCTGTCGAGCAGTCATATAGGATTTGTTGGGTCCATCTCTAACAAAAAGCGAGATCATTATTAAAAACCGAAAATAAGATGTCTTGTTCGTCTTTTAGGCATTTCTGTCTTTTTTCCAATTACGATTTATAGTTGCAATATATTTTGACATATTGGACATTGATATAGTCCAAAATGCGTATAGGTATAGGTATTTTAACTAAATATCACTGATTAGGCAGTGAGAGGCCTATTTACTCATGGACAATGTTATATGGTAGGCCGTGACAGTGACAGGTAACGTCATGACAACATTGTTATTGTTTGACAGTTTGTATTATTATTTTATCAAAATGGGTTACACAAATTGAAATATTATAGGAATTAAAATAGAGTTATTCTCCATATTCTATTTTAATTCCTAATAATATTTAAATTTTCTAGTTCTGTGTAACCCTTTTTAATTAAATAATAATACAAACTGTCAATCAATAACAATGTTATCATGACATTGCTATCTGTCACTATCACGACACGACCTACCATTAACATTGTCTTGAGTAATTGACCTCACACGGTCTAATTAGTGAGATTTAGTTAAAAATACCTATATGCATTTTGGGCCGTATCAATGTCCGACATGTCAAAATATATTTCAACTAAATCTAAATCTTTACGTAATTGGAAAAAAGGCAGAAATTCCTGAAAGAGGTCTAAATTACAAGATGTCTTATTTTCTTAATAAAAAACCTTTTCGTTTTTTAATATTATCTCGCTTATTGTTAGAGATGGACATAACAAACCCTATGCTCGAGAGGGAAAGCTCTATCCAAATATGCAAAAATATACAGGGTGTTCCATTTAAATTAACAAAGTTAACATCCCCAGCCATTTTGTTTGGAGTTCATTTGTTTTTCTATAATTTCCGAAAAATTCATAAAAAATCATGCAACTTTTGTATTTCACATTTTTTATAACTCTTAAAACAAAAAAGTTTAATGGGGGGGGGGGGGCAAAATATAGTGAACCACTCTGTACACACAATCTTCTAGAGTTTTATTTAATTCAGTCTCTACTATTTTTAAAACAAGAAATGGAACAATCGAAAGACTTTCTGAGAATATTAAAATATCAAATATTGATAAAACAAGACAATTTAGTAAATTCAGTATTTTATAGGAAGAAATATTTTTTTATTATAGACCAAAAAGTATCAAAGCATCTAACAATAGTAATAATTAGTCTTTGTTTTTTATTATCGCTCTGCATTTGTATTTGCATAAAAAAAAATCGGCGAATACATACGCATGCGTGATCACGGATCCGTTGTAACCACGTGATCATCAACATCCAATCGGTTCTGACCTTGACGGAGTGTCAAGTCGTTTTACTGATGCACAATTGGATACTGATGATCACGTGGTTACAACGGATCCGTGATCACACATGCATGTGGATCCAGGCTAATGCCTACTGTACAGGGTGGACCAAATTTGACATAGGTATGGATGAGACAGACAGAAGAGTCGAAATTAACCCACCCTGTACAGGGAGCTTGAAAATTAAATTAATGTTTGTAGTAACATACATTTATTTTTTCGCAGTCCTCTGATATTTGCGTTTGAGATTTTCAAAGCACAAAAACAGTGTAAACAACTTTTTATTTTAAAGTTTTTTACCTTGCAGTCTTCGCATATGCCCAGTGAGGAAAACACGTCGGTCGACTGCGTTTCCTCGGCGTGTGAGAATTTTGAGAACGTAGGCGTTCCGAAGCATCTGTTAAAAATATCAAAATTGACTAATTGCTTCAGTTTGAGCCGGCTGTGACACTTGTTGCTCGGCTGATGCTCTTTTATTTCAGTTCGGCGAGCGGGCGGACGGACGAGCACAAGTGTTATTTAGCGTTCCATGTCCGGCCAATTTAATTAGACCAATTAAAAGTTTCAATTAACTGGGCTGAAATAGAGGAATTTGTGGTGTTTACTGTGCGAGAGACATCGAGGTTTCGGACGGCCGGCATGGATTTCATGCACTACCCCGTGATGCTGGAGGAGGCGGGTTTGGCGAAGAACGTTTCGAACAATAAGAGAAGGAAATCCTCGAGTTACGGAAATGGGGCGGAGGATTTTTCTGGGCCCGTGAGACAGAGGAGCCAGGCGAACGCCAGGGAGAGGGACAGGACTCACAGGTATTCTTATTTTTCATTAGTAAAGTAAGAAAAGATAAAACATGGCATACTGCGATTACTACGTAATGTTTACTACCAGTAAATATAAGTTTCTATAAGATTTCGCGGTACCCAAAATGTTACGTTGCAATTGTCGCATCACATGGAAATTCCTGTGATTTAGAGTGGACATCTATTGCGTAAAAATCTAATAAAGTTAGAACAAGTTTAATAAAAAAAACTGAGATGTATTTATTTTGATTAGAAGTGGCTAATCATATATGATTTCATATTCCTAGTTCTTATATGCGACTACTAGAATTTGTTTTGGTTAAAATTTAATTATTTTTGCAAGGCAATAGAATAAAAAAAAAATTATTGTATAATCTAGAGATGAAGATAAATATAAAGTAAATATTATTAGTAACTATTATATTTTTCACCCCAAACTACATTTTTCTTAAGTAGAAAGAAGATGATATATATACGCACTGCTATTTTTTTAAAACCCGACAAAAGCCAACTTTTTTATTTAAACTGATAGACTAGTACTTCCAAATGAAAAGTTGTAGGAATTAACTAGCGATTAAGAAAAATTTACAAATAATTCTTTCCGGTGTTGCCAGATTTCTGCAGTAGCTACTAAAATGATACTTTTTTAAATGGCAACACCGTATTTTTTTAACATTATTTGACAGACCTTCAAATTCAAAATAGAAAATGTTATGTTACGTTTCTTTTTTGGAATAGCCGTTTTAGAACAATCAGCAAAAACAACGAAAATAATCTGTAATGGTCAGGCACTAAAAGAAGCTAACATGGCAATTAAGGTCTTGGAAATTGAACAAAAATTGTGTTGTTCTATAGGAGCCATCATTATTGTACTGTCATTATGTTATTTGATAGCTGTTGTATTTGAATGTGTATAAAAAAATTACGTTTTAATTCAGTTGTTAAGATGATCAGTTCCACAATCAATCCACAAGGAAGTTGAATTAATTTTTAATTCCACGCAAGACATCCCGATAGGCCTCTTCCAAATCCGGAGTTTTTAAAGAATAACTTAGTAAAACTAAAAAACAACTAGAAGTGTGTGCCCAAGGATCTGCAAAAGGCTGAAAATCATCTTAACATCTTAATTAAACCCTTATTTTTATACACATTCAAATACAACAGTTGTCAAATACCACAATCACGGCACAGTAATGATGGGTCTTTTCAAACAACACAATTTTTGTTTAATATCCAAGGCCTACTATTGCTATGTTAGCTTCTTTTAGTTCCTGCCGACTGCAGATTATTTTCATTGTTTTTGTTGATTGTTCTAAAACGGCCATTCCAATAAAGAAATGTGATATATTTTTTATTTAGAATTTCAAGGTTTTTCAAATTATGTTAAAAAAATACGATGTTACCATTTAAAAAAATATTGTTTTTGTAGCTACTGCAGAAATCTGGCAACACCGGAAAAAATTATTTGCAAATTTTTCTTAATCAAGTTATTTCCTACAACTTTGCATTTGGAAGTACTAGTCTACGAGTTGAAATAAAAAAGTTGGCCTATGTCAGGTTTTAAAAAAATAGCACTGTATGTGTACCTACAAATTTATATCCCGTATGACCAAGGAATTAGGTTTTTTGTCGATGCCAAGATCATTGAAGTGCTATATGATTTTAATTGTTGCTATTGTTATTTTCATCATTCTCTATCATCCTTGTTTTTTTTTACTTTAATCTTTTGTCGCCTCTGATTTTGAAATTATTATAAAACAAAAAGGATTAAGGAAAAAATTCATTCTTCAACAAGATTATTTTTTTAAATAGGTACACTAACTGAAAGAAGTACCTACTTACATCGATTTCAACAAGTCTGAATAACACAATAATAAATTGAACGTCTTTTTTTTGTTATTCATTTTTAATTTTTTCAATATGTATAGAGAACCATTGGCACGCTTGGCAAAACTTTAATCTATAGCACAAATTAATGAAAAAACTTCCTAGAAACATGTGTCTGGAAACACTTCGATTTCAAGATACATTGAGTTAAAGTTTAACAACATATTAACGTTACTTCATTTGCAAGATAGGGGCTGAAACAATTTCATGTAAATTTGAATTAAATAAACAGGGCATACTTTCAGAGATGGGCTTTCAAAAATTCTATTTAACAAGACATTTTAACTTGACTCAATATGTCACTAGGTTGTACCCTTTTCGAGATAAATTGCAAAATGTCATATTCAAGTAATAATCTGCTTGTATGTAAATGAAATAGGTATACATACGAAGTGTTCCTTCGCAATTTGAAATAAACCAGTCTTTTCATTAATTTTAACACATTGTCGAAGACGATGGAGACATATTTATGGAACGCTCTTTATTTATTAGTGACCTAAACAGTATACAAGTACTGCAATACTTCAAACACAAAAAATAAACTGAATACTTCCTTGGTTAAATACTAGTATTTGGATCAATATATTCAGTTCAACTTCTAGAACCTTAACAAAAACTGTGGACATATTTTTTGCTCTCATTTGAAAAACATGATTTGAAAAAGATAAACAATCTTTGGCTGATGCTGCAAATTTTTTACTATCCACTTAACTTTGATTTATCAAAATAAATAAATAAAATCTAGAACTGTGATAAAATGCAAGATCTAATATGATTTAATTTATTTTATTGTTATTGCAACAAACCATTATATCTTGCAAATATACAGTGTGAATTTTGATAATACAATGCGAGGCCCACATAGAAGTTTTTGATGAAAAAAAATTTGCTATATAAAAAATTAAATGAGGGGTTGCCAACCCTAAGATCTGGAAAAAGTTTGCAAAATATATTTTTTAGGAACTACTTGAGTGATGGATAAATTTTTGTCAAAAAATTTTTTTTTTGTTAAAGTTACAGTATTATGAAATTTGAAAACCGGAATGTTTGTATCAAATTAAAATGAAATACGTGTAACTACAAAGAAAATTTAATTTTGTAATAAATAATTAAATAAAAACTGCCCAGTTGTATTATACCTATCAATCGATTATGAAGAAAATATTTTGCATAAATATTTGTAACCATTTTTGATATCTTGAGATCGACAATTCATAATTTGAATGGAAATTTTTTGTGATCTTTGTGTGAGCACATAGAAATCATCCCCTAAAAATGGTCATACTTCATTATTAAAATATGAATTCTATTTATTAAGCAAAAAATTCACTAATGCAGATTTTATTATTGAAGTTATATTGCATGAAGCATTAGTGTCCACCGATTATTCTGAATTTCCACTTTGAATAAGAGTTTTTAAATATTTTTGTTGTTTGACTTATATCTACTATTTTTGCTGACTATCAAATATCTAATCGCATATTTGATTGTCTATGAGATATTCTTTGAACTACTTATGTATTAAATATAATTTGATAAAAAATTGATCTATGGAGATTTTGCAAAAAATGTCTTAGTCCTGTAAACCTTATAAAAATTGGAGTGAAATTAAAAAAAGTGGATAAGTCATTATGAAAAACATCATTTTTAAAACAAGGTACTTCTTTTGAATCATTTCATTTCAACACTATCCAAATCTAGATAAAACTTTACAATCCTGGATGTTAGCTACTGTGAACAAAATCAGTTTTAAATACGCCCTTTGAAGGGCTGTAACTACCCTTTTCCTGTGTGTAATCAACTGTGAACAAAATCAGTTTTTAATATGCCCTTTAAAGGGCCTACCCCTTTTGAAATGTTTGCTTTTTGAGAAATGTAGATAATTTTTTATGTTTAAAGTTAAAATGCTCTTAAGATAGAACAATGGTTAATTCTTATTAAAATTGTTGGAAACGTAAGCACAAGTTATTGAAAAGCCACTACTTGAGTCTAAATAGTAGTGGAAAAAATATTCTCTTTAGTTTTTATAACAGTCTAGTACTAATGACCTAACAACTAGTGACTATCTGTAATGACAAAAAGATCGAACTAAAATTATTGTACACTCGAAGTTTTATTTTGTTTATATATAATTTAAAATATAAATAATGCAAGTGAATTCCTTTTGATTTAAGTTCAGCCCCTATTGTTTTAGCGTCAACACGGCTTTCTCAACATTGAGGACCTTGATTCCGACAGAGCCAAAGGACAGAAAACTGAGTAAAATAGAGACCCTACGATTGGCGTCGAGCTATATCTCACACCTTGGAACACAATTAATGGCAGGTACCTGTTGTAACTGTTTCTAAGGAAACTATTCAAAATCGAAATTTATAAAAGCACCAGTCTTACGACGCTGATACAGACATCTCTGTTGTAAGACACACTTTCGAGAAAAGAATAATACGATTTTTCTAGGTCCGATTGAACAGCCTTGTTTGAGACTATCGAAACTCGAAGATGAGAGCACGAAGACCAGCAGGCATCAAGTGTGTACCTTTTGCATAGCGCATAAAAAATCGCCTGTAGGTATAATCATCATTTAATTGAGTTTAAGCTAGTTTAATCGTTGTCTTTCAGAAAACTATCATGGCGGAAGACTTCGAGTGCCCCAATTTCGAGGGGCAGATATTTTTAACCCCCACCTCGCCTTCTACAATGACTACAGCGACAGTCTTAACGCCGAATGACCTGAGTAATATTTATTATTAAAAGTAAAAAATGCTCGTTATCGTGATGAGGCAGAAATTTTAAGTTATAGTTAAAAACAACCGATAATTAATCATAAAAAATGCGTGCATTTTTGGATGCCCAACATTTTTTTACAGATAAACACATTTTTTATTCACGGATGAGCAACATTCTGTAGATATAACGTTAGCGTAGTTATTTAAGGTTTATCTAGTACTAATCTTAAAATGTACTTAACTTTACCAAAGCATAAGCGTTTAACAAGTTTGTAACGAAACAATGATTTATGTTAAATCGCTTAAACTTTTCTGGGAATCTAAAATAATAAATTCTGTTAATTAATCCTGATGCCATTAACCATATGCAGTTTTAATTATCGTCAATGATATTTATTCGTTTTCCCAAGGCTGAGCCCATATTCATAAAAGAATTACGATTACGTCAGAATGTGTTCCACTTCAATTGAAATGTTATGGTTATGTTATGAATTTGAAATACTGAATGTTTCATGTCAAACATAATTGTTTACCATAAAATAACACTAAATAGAAAAATATAGTCCTGGAAATCAAAGTATATATAAAATATTAAAAAATATATTTTTTGTGGTTCTTTAGATGACTTCAAGTGTGTTCTATTTTTTCAGGTGGCAAGATATTAACTACAAGTCAGTCTTAGATATTTTATTTTAAAAATATTTCACTAACAATCTTACAAATGCATAGAAATGATTTACATTTAATTATTTTAGGGTTTGCAACTTTATATTTTCATTGATGATTGATTAAATTGGACTTAGCCGCAGGTAGAGAACAATAAAGATTTAATACATACTTAATTTTTTTGTACCTCGGGTAGATAATAAATTACATAAAATCAACTATTGTCAATCTGTTGGTTATTGACAAAAATAACACTCTTATAATTGTCTCGTTTTTTTTTAATAAAAAATATTTTGCATTTTTTGATAAATGCTATTAAAAAGTATAACCAAATTGTTGTGCACTTTTGGCTTTACCCAAGAATAACTCTTTTTCAAAATAATGCAGTGCTATCTTCAAAGAGTTACCGCAAAAATTGCCCATTTTTTCACAATTCGCAGAGAACTAAAGAAAATAGATAAAAATATGTTTTTGGTCTCAAATTATTCGTCGTAAAAAATTAAAATGAGCATAGCTTTTAGTTTTTTGAAAATTTTCAAAAATCACCCCTATTTAGGGGTTGAAAAGACGCCCATAATGAAGAATTGAATATTACCAATAAATATAAAAACTATTAGCATGTGAATTTTTCTATCGATGATTCTTGATACAAAGAAAGATTTATTCTCATGACTGAAATAAGCATGTTGAATTAGAAAATCCACCCTTAAGGGCGCTCAGGGGGTGGAATCATCCCCAAAAATAGAGAATATCAGAAATAATTGTAAAAATTCCAAAAAAATATAAAAGATAATTCACATGCTAGTAGTTTTTGTATCAATTGGTAATATTCAAATTCTTTATTTTTAACATTTTTTTAACCCCTAAGGTCGATTTTTTAAATTTTCAAAATACTGAAAGCTATGTTCATTTCAGTTTTTTACAACAAGTAATTTGCGACCAAAAACATATTTTTATGTATTTTTTTAAATTCTCTGCGAATTGGGTGAAAATCAGGTTTTTTGCGGTCACTCTTTGACCTTCCGTAGATCTTTTAATGAACATGTAAAAAAATAATTGAATGCAGGAGAAATATCTAAAAAAAATATATGATAATTCGATTTATAAAAATTCTACAAGATTAGAGAGGCTTTTTATTGGTAATGAATTAATTTACATACACTAATTTTAGATATTTTTTATTTAATATTTTGGATGTTTTGCTATATTTAAAAAGGAAAGAAAAAAAATATATACTATTAAAATATACAGTGCGTCCCAGAGGTAACGCAAAAAATTCGTATTTTATTTTGTGTTGTTTTCACAAAAACGCTAAAACAAGTCAATTAGGAAATAGGAATTGTCCTTTTGTCACGTTGCTTAAACCTTTTTTGCGCGATGTTTCATAAACCCATGACGTCATTGACATATTTTTTAAATAGCACTACCTAATTTTTTAAACATAAAAGGATAGCCCTTTCGAAGGGAAATGCGTTGATATTTTTTGTACCTACAATCAACCAAAACACGAAACATCTACAAATTCCCATTTTTTGGTGTGGCTCTGTTCTTGCATCAGTTTGTGGTACCTACTTTTGTTGTTATTTTAAACCATGTTGATTCCAATCGTTGCCTTTTTTTCGCACCTGTCAAAGTAAAGTAGGCCAAACCCTATATCAATGCATTTTCCTTCAAAAGGGCTATCCTTTTATGCTTACATTAAAACACAACATTCTGTTTCACTGGCTGTCAATTGGTGTAATTTTTCACACGATTTTATTCAAATGGACGCATTATCTCAGGCGTAGATGTAACGGTTTGTCATTGTTCCTTGTAAACGAATCATTAATATTAGTGACGCTAAGATTTAGGGATTTTTAGATGACGGTACCAGCCATAGTACTACTTTTGTCATGTTAAACCCATAGAACTGTTAAACCCCTTAAAGTGTTCTGTCTATCCATGGTAGTGGCATAACTAGAACCGATGACATACCCAAAATTAAATTTTTTTAACCTCACTGTTTATTAACCTTTCTAAAAACAACTTTGGTATCAAAATGTCGCTCTCTTCCGAATAGTACCCGTCTGATTGTATTCGTTGAATGTGTTCAGGTACATATTTAATAACATCACTAAAAAAACTTGCCACTAACGTTCTGTCTTTTAAATGCAAAGACAAATTTTGTACGGAGAAAAAATCCTTGAAAGCGCTGAGAATGCTGGAATAACTTTTCCCAGTAATATAAGTTATACATCTATATGTTTCTAAATGGGTGGAATAAAAAAGCGAACAATAAAATATCAGTTTGAATATTTTTAACAGCAGTTGTTTTGGAACTTGCTTCTGCAAGTACGGCAACGTAGAAATTATATCGTTCTTTAGTTCTTCGCTAAAAGAATTCAAATTCATGTACCTTGTCTCTACAAGATCATAGAAAAGTTGCTTATCATCGAGTTGTTCTGGTTGTTCAGAAAAATATAAAACAAAGATCATTAATTTGGAGACGTTACTCGTAATTTTAAATTGCACTGAATCGTCTTTAAAACTCAAACTACGATTATATCGATAGAACACTAGGATTGTTTTAAAATAACAATTTAATAAATAATTATCTTCATCACTTAAAGAAACTGATTTCTTAAACAGAGTTTTTAAGATTTCGTTTATTATATCATTGTCAAATTCATTGCTCTCAAGCTTTGAAATCAATATCGTTAAAATTTTTATTTGAATACAATGCAGTAAATCGTTCGACAAAATTTTTTCTAAGATAACGGTAATTTCCTTATTTTTTGCACTGATAAATAAAAATGGAATATTATTATGAAGCCAAAGCCTTTTGCGGAAATCTTCGTTACGGCAATTTACAAATTCATTTAAAATTTCAGTTCGTGGTTTAACTTTAAATAAAACAAAATCGAAAAATCGAGTATCATATCTTCTGAGTTCAGTCAATAGGTCTTTTATAGCAAAGTTCATAACTTTGATTCCTTCTTTGCTAATACAGTGTTGAAATGAATTTTGATATTTCTCATACAACTGTTGGATTAGGAACGTGAAATTGGCAGTGACGTTCTTGCTTATGTATCTAAAGTTAATTTTGAAGAAACGTAAAATGCTACAAATTTTTTCTGGTATTCCTTTCGATGAACAAATAGCCGAATAGGAGCGTGCCGCCATTTTTCCATAGTGATTGGGATATCTCTGCAGTATATTCATAAATAACTGACAGAAACGTTCTATAGATACGTCCGATTGGCAAAAATGCTCCTTTATTTGTGACTCGGAGAAAAATTGGAACACCAGAATTGCCCGTTCGTCCAACTTGTCACAAGATAAAACTTTGTAGAAGTACAAAGATAAATTTGGAAATAATATAAAAAGGTCCTCTATGCATTTTGGCCTATTGGAAGTATCTAAACAAACCCCGTAGAATCGGTCAATTATGGCTCTAGTAAGCTGTAAGTCTGCGTTCCTAAAAATATAGCGATATTCAGAGTGACAGACAAATAAAAAAAAATATTTTTTACCTGACAATCCAGCTGGATCGTGCGAATAGTTCTACACATTGGACGATGATATCAGAAATGAAAGGTAGAGTGGAACATTGTAAGTTATTATCGGAAACTAAAATTTCTATGCTGTGTAGAGCTGATGATATGGCAGATTCTGCACTGTTCGGATCAGATATGACTTGTATTAGGTTGGTAAGAACCCATTTGAGTAGAGGCTGAAAGTGATTAGTGAAATACCTCTAAGAATTAGAGCAAAAAGTTTTGAAATAAGTTTTGAGCAAGGTATATTTAGAGGTGTAAAAATTTTGAGACTTGTAGATACAGTAATACCCTGACTTGCGCTACCCCGTCTTACGCAAAACCTGAGTTAGTTGATTTTTAAATCTCTCGTCGATTCGTCTTTTGTTTGAGCACCGCACAACTCTCGATTCGCCACTCTGTCTACGCTAGTGTGCAGATTATGACATGTTTGGACATGTTTCGTGGAATCAATGCATAGTTACAGTGTTACAGTACATGTTGTGTGTTCGTTACATCTACTGAGATTTGAAAGATGTCATCCAAACAAAATAGAACCAATTCTTTTGCATTAAACTAGAAAAACAAAACATTATCTTTGAAATGTAAACAACATTATCAAAGACTTCGCTGCAAAAATAAAAATTTGTAAATTGGAAAAGACGTTCGATCTACCGGAATCGATAGTCGGAAGAATAATTATAAAAGGCAAAGAAAAAATTCTTGAAGCTGTGAAAAATGCGCAATCTTTGAATTCAAGTGTCATATGAAATAGGAAAAAAATGTTAAAATTATGGTGTGATAATCAAGTAAGTGTGAAAAATTGTCCTGTTCATCGGAGCACGGTATGCTGGAGAGGTGGCTAAAGATGAAATATTTAAAGCTAGTCACGATTGGTTCAGCCGATTCAAAAGTTACTGTAACAGGAATTGCATTGCAGAAAGTAGAGGGGCGGCAAGCGCTGATAGAGACTGCGCGTCTCTATCCAGAGAAACTCAAAACTACGATAGAAGAAGGTGGCTATTGTTAAGAAGTTAGATCAAAGACCCAAGCTACTCTCGGCAACTTGCAGATCTCTGCCCAAATATATTTTTAAATTATAATAGCACAAAGAATGACACACTATTCCGTCAAATATAAGTTTACGTAAGCTTTTCTCAATATAGGCCGGCTTATCAGAACATATCTGCTCAAGTTTATATAACTGAAATAAACTGGAAGACATATGATATACGGGGTGATTAATTCAACACCATATAATACATGGTAACTAAATATAACAATAATTAATTAACTAATTACTACAACTATAGTAAGAGCTCGTCACACTATACCAGTCAAATCATATTCAACGTGGATGAGACTGGTCTGTTCTGGAAGAAGATTCGTAAATGAACTTTTATCGTGCGTGAAGATAAAACCTTTCCAGGTTTTAATGCCGCCAAACCTCAATTAATAGTGATTGTAAGTTAAAACCTCTGTTAGTTTATCGCTCAGAGAATCTAAGACCACTAAAAAATAAATCTAAAGCTGGTTTTCCCGATTTAGTAGTCGAATTGTAAAGCTTGGATGACAGCTTTCCCATTTGAGGATGGTTTGGTCATCACTTTATACCTGAAGTCGAACGTTATTGCCAATCTAAACAAATCCAATTTAAAGCGATGCTATTAATCAACAAAGCACCAGGTCATCCCCCTGCTACTTTAACCAATTTCGATCCAATAGTGAAAGTTGTATTTTTTCCAACAAGTACAACCAGCTTGCTTCAATTGATGGACCAGAGAGTCATCTAAACATTCGTAGCTTATTACACAAGAGGATCTTTTGTGACAACAACGAGTTTTCTGTTAAACACTTTTGGAAACAATTCAATGTTTTAGATGCTGTGAGAATCGTTGGACAAACTTGGAATAAAATTTCACAAAAAAACTTTAAATGGCATCTGAAAAAAATTGAGTATTTTTTTCACCACTGAAACTCGGGCAGAATCAGCGCCAAAGCCTGATGAAATTGGAAATCGCCCGTTTTTTCACAATTCGCAGAGAACTAAAGAAAATAGATAAAATTTGGTCTCAAATTAATAGTCATAAAAAATTAAGATGAGCATAGCTTTTAGTTTTTTGAAAATTTTCAAAAATCACCCTTATTTAGGAGTTGAAAAGACGCCCAAAATGAAGAATTGAATATTACCAATAAATATAAAAACTATTAGCATGTGAATTTTTCTATCGAATGATTCTTGATACAAAGAAATATTTGTTCTCATGACAGAAATAAGCATGTTGAATTAGAAAATCCACCCTTAAGCGCACTCAGGGGGTGGAATCATCCCCAAAACTAGAGAATATCAGAAATAATTGTAAAAATTCCAAAAAAAAAATATATTAAGATAATTCACATGCTAATAGTTTTTATATCAATTGGTAATATTTAAATTCCTCATTTTTGGCATTTTTTCAAACCCTAAGTAGGGGTGATTTTTAAAATTTTCAAAATACTAAAAGCTATCATTTCAGTTTTTTACGACAAGTAATTTGCGACCAAAAACATATTTTTAAGTATTTTTTTAATTCTCTGCGAATTGTGAAAAAACGGGTGAAAATCACAGGTTTTTTGCGGTCACTCTGTAGAAGTGGATAGTGATGACATACAAGAACAGCTAGGATTCACACAATCGGGAGCAGAAATGCGTGAGCAAAAGATTGAAGAAACTGATTCTTTAGAACCAGTTCAATTAGAAAATCAAATGATAGTTGGGAACTTGACAGAAGGTCTTAGTTCAATTGAAAAAGGGTTACAAATTTTGGAAAACATAGACTCCAACGTAGAGTGCATTTCTGCCATAAAACAAGGAAAAAAAATTATTATCGAGCTACGAGGTTTTGTGTACGAAAAAACCTTTGATCCCTCAAATTACTTTGTTAGAGTTCTTCTACGTCAAAATCATTTCCGTTTACATTTTTGCAGTTAATAATAATATAATTTGTTGTATTATCTAAGAGTTTATCACACATTTTTCTTGAAAATTATTGTTTTCTTTAGTCTCGGAGCTCAATTACATTACATAATTTGAATGTATTTACTATTTATATGCAAAATTATATCCCACTTATGCGAATTCGACTTACGAAGTTATCAATCGGTTCTATCATGTAAGTTTGGGGTATTACTGTATAAATAAATATTACGAGTTGAAATAATCAAAAAGAAGAAAAAATTGTTAAATTTCAACTTCTTACATCAGGAAAATTTTGTTTTAAATTTAAATTTATCTTTAAATTTGCTTTTTACTTTAAAATTTCACTAAACATGATTTAATACTGTATGATTTTTAACAACCGTCAAATAAATATCTTCTTTGCAGAAATGAAAACAAACATTTCTTCTACTTCAACAATGTAACATTAGCGAATTGGTACCACAAAATTGTTTAAAAAATGGAGAAATATGTAACATATCGCTGAAATTTAAAATGCCACCTACCTTATTTGGATTCGTATCAGAACTACACATAGCATGAATGACTAGTCTACTTTCAGGACTCCTTCTAATCCTTAAATCCGATTTAACTGCAGATTGATACAGCGATTTCAGCGCATCATCCAAGAACTGTATTTTATAATTTTGATTCGTGTCACTTTCATTCATTTTAAGACCGAAACGTTTCAAGACTTCCACGCTTAAAGATAGGGGTCTCTTCATGTTGCTCTTTTGAATTATAATCATTAAACGTCTCATGACTTTGTCTTTCTCGATATTTTTCCACAGGACATCTGCGTTTTCGATCATACACAGCATGACTTTCTAAAAAAAAGTCGTTAAACAAGTTTTTCGGTAGCTTCATTACAAAAATTCACTTTATAATACCCAATACTAATAAAAAATAACTTACATTTATAAATGCTTCCAAAACTTTTGCCGTTCTATAGTTTACATCACTAGAAGAACTGTTATTAATTATGACATTCTCAACAACAGTCGAGGACGTTTCTACTAAATTATGCAATTTTTCCACATCGTATCTGCTATGTCTCACAGCTACCATTATAATTTCTAGATATAGAACAGTTCTGAATATTATTTCCTCCGAAAAACCGCCTTCTTGAGAAATACTTAAGTTAACAATGAAATCGCTTATTTCTTCAAGAAATTCCATATTTTCTTTGCTGCAATACTGGTTTTGAAATACGATATCAGAGTAATTCCTTATTCTCTTTTCGGTGTCTAAGCTAGTTTGCGAAGAACATTCGCTAACTAAACTTTTCAAATCTATCGAGTTTAAGTAAGAGCTTGTTACGTCTAAATATTTTGTGAATACTCTTGTTAGGAAAGTACTAGAACCATTTGTGATATCGAAACAATTTATTAATTCTTGTCGGAATATTGCGCTACCAAACAACCACATATTCCTTTCTTTTAAATGTACATAGAATAAATTTTCACCATTAGCATAAAAATCCTTTTTATCTAGTCTATAATTAAGTATTAAATTTTTGTGACTACCTAAAATGTAAACGTTACATAAGTCTTGGATTTAGCGTGTAAAAATTTTTTAGTTTGGAAATACTAGACGCAAATCGATTAGTTAAAATCGTAAATTATAATAAAAATAGATTTACCTGTTGCTATAGTCCATAAAATAAATGTGATTTCAGCTCCTACTTCATAAAAGTCAGTTTTTAAACACAAACGGCAATATTTATAAATTTTTTGAATAATCGATGTATAAAGTGAAAAATTTTCTTCACTTTTCTTCAACTCATTATGAGCATGTAAGAATATTTGCGAAAAAAAGTGGCATAAACTTCTTGACTCTTCTTCTTCTAAAGACACATTTGTGTTTGAGTAAAGATATTCCATAACGACATCAATTTCGAAAGTCATTGGCCATACCGATTTTTTGTGATAAGTAGTCGCTAATTTTAAGGCTAACTCTCTAGTTTCCAAATCATAATACGTCTTTAAAATACCTCCTTTTATTATATCATCGTCAAAGGTACAACCTTTTCTTTTAGATTCCAGTAAAATGTAACTTTTAAGCTTCCAATCTATCGGCTCATTTCTCACAAAGTTATAAAACTCATATTTGTATGCACTTACATTCATAGTTATCCAGTATTTACGGAGGCTTTGGAGAAATTCCCTAGAAAATAAATAAATCAAAAATATAATAAAAAAAATAATTCATTTTTGAATGGTTATGATTTACAGAAGCGCAAATAAGTCAAAAAATGAAAAATGCCATTAGATTAGCATTAATATAAAAATAAATAAATTGTATGTACCTACTAAAAACAAATGTTTTGATTACAAATATAATAAGCAAAATTATACCTGAATGTTACATTACAAACCACAAATTAGTATTATTTTTTATTTAAATGCATTTCACATTGACAGTTCTGTTTTTGTCATTTTGTCTAAGAAACAAATGCCTTCTATAATTCATAGGCAACCAAGATCACAGGAATATGATACTAATTAGTGATGAGCAGAATCAAGTCATATCTGGCTTACCTGAATAAGAAGTGAATGCTGACAATAATTTACTTATTTATTGAAAAATCAATTATAAAATGTCCTCAATTGTGTCCATCACTAACAATGTAGCGTTATATTTACCCCTCATAATCGATATATCTCAAACTATCCAGAAATAGTGGCCAAATTTCCTTTCCCCACTCTTCAAAGGAGTAAAAAAGAAGACACTCGTATAAAGCACCTCCATCTTTACTCTCAACGTTCCTCAGAAACATGCTCAAAACTTTTTTAACTATGTGGTGTTGGTTCTCTCTAATGAATGTTTTTGGGAAACGTTTCACTATATCGTACATATCTATGCCCTTCATGGGCAATAAAGAAATGTCTAAAAATATAGTTACTTCTGCAGGTAGAGATGAAATAACTTGCTTCGATATCTCACGAGCGTACTGCCTGAACACCGTAATCGGTGATACAGCTACTTTGTTCATACAGCTCAGAATTTCTCTATTTAAATTTGGTAGCAAAGTGTCCTTGCGCTTGGTAATAATTAATAATAAGGTTCTTAACAAATGTAACGATAATGGTTTTGCTATATCGATATTTTTAAGGATGTGGTCAACAACCAATGTAAGCAAATCAAGATGCGAGTGGTTTAGACCATTATTTACGATATCTGTATGTTTTATAGAATTTATTAGGATTATTTGAAAAAGCCATGTGTCTTTTATAAAAATGTTGAAGCTGCTTCCACTAGCTTTCTCAATTAAAGTAATGTGGCAGCTGTTTTTGTTGAAAATGTCCTGAATTATATCATAATGGTTTTCGTAGAGACTTGTAAGAGCGCAGTGTAATATATTTGATGCAGCTTCTATTTCATTCGTAATGATTTCATCCTGAGTCAAATTTGCTAAATATGTTATTAAACTTATCTCTTCATAACAGTCACAACAACTATTATTAGAGGATTTCTGAAAAATTAATAATAAGATACGTTGCATTTTATATGTATTTTTACTAACAAATTCTCTCAAAATTCTTTCCATAACTCAAATTCAAAATTTTTAACTATATAACCTAAAAAACACAACATACATAACCGTAACTTTTGTCTACTTCTTGAAATTTCTTCTTCTTTTGGTCGAATTTTTGCGACTAACCAACCAACCAACGAAATGTGTCATTATTTTGCAAAAATAATTACGCATATTATCAGAAAATTTTAAACGTATTTTTTTAATCTTTTAATCAATAAATGTATAAAATTTTGGTATAAATTCGTACAAAAATATTTCACATGTATAAAAAGAAGGTCATTGATTTCCCTGTTTATTCTTTTCGATTTCTTTGAATTTCTTTATAGCTTCCGGCGGTGCTGGTTGTAATTTTTCATTTCGTACAATGGGAGTAAAGTCCAAGTTGGCTATCTAAAAATAAATATATGAATGTTATAAGACTCAAACTCCTCTCTGACTCAGGATAATGTAGACTATTAATAAGTTGAGTCGTTGACTATTGTATTACCTAATTTATACCATCATCAAAAACTGGTATTTGTTATATTTCATATCTAGGTACATCAAATAAAGATATTTGCAAACTTAGGATTGATTACCTGTGGTAGTACAGCTACTATGTAATTCCTGTATCTTGGATGATTTGCTATGGGATTTCCATGGAATGTAATACTTCTGAGTTCCATTAAGGGCCTTAATTTGAAAACCTCGTCCAGATCAGATATGCAGTTCCCATGGAAGTACAAAATCTTTAATTTCTTGAATTTCAAAATACACTACAATATAATGAAAATGAAGGTTTTGTTAACTGTTATTCAAAATTGTAGCTCAGAATAAAATCTCAAAAAATACTGCAAATTTTACCTCATCTATTTCTGTTATGAAATTGAAAGAAAAGTCGATCCAGCCCAACTCATCTGGATACTCCAGAACCGATTGGGCGAATTGATCTACATTCTTGGTGTTGGTGAGTCTATTGTTATTTAGCCAAATGGACCTGGTCAGAAATTTCTTTTTTTCTATTCCTCTATCTGGGACTCCAGCTACTCTTGTATATCTGGCACCCTCAAGGCCAATATCTAGAGATAAATCGTATAACTTAATAATGAGTTGAGAGAAGATCTTAATAAATATTTTCTGATTTTGATTCTAAGTATGCCTTTCCCAGTGTATTTAATGAATTACACAAAAACATACATTAATTTCAGTTTGACAATTTATTAACATTCAAACCAGGAACATGAAAATAAGACGAACATAACACAAAATGTGATAAACGGACACAATTGCAACTTAATCTAAAAACTAAGAAAGACGAATGCATGTACCTCTTAAGAATTTATCCACGTTTATAGTTTTCATTTTCCGAAAGGAAAAGTCAGCGGGTTTACCGGTGGAAAGCAGGGCAGTTTCTTCTTTGCTCATTGTTACGTTCGTACTTTATTTCGAGGAAAATTTTCGTCAGTGATCGGATAAGGGACACGTGTTACAAACCCCCAATTTAAAAGAGGCGAGGTTGACAAAAATGTCATTCCACGACACCTCTCAATACCGTGAGGCATTATTGATTGATCGCGTGACTGAAAACTGTAACAATTACCTACATTAAAAATCGAACAATTCACGCGACATATAGGGCGGCGAGAATTGTTGTAATAATTTTACCAGCATTTATTTTCTGTCCCAATACTGAGCGATAATATTTAAGTTAAGTTTGTTGAAAAAACTGGTTTCTGTTTTAAGTATTTTAAGCGACTTTTTTATGAACGTATAGGGTCAATGGTCCATGTCTAAACATTCAATTCAATCATCGGTTGTCCCACCTCGATTTTACTTTTCCCAGACTTCTATGAGGACAACGGTTTCAGTGAAACCCTCCTACACAGCAGGTGGTACTAGGGCTCTCGCTTCCTGCTCACGTGCAGAGAGGTATACGAGATTGTCGGACACCTCGTCAAATTTGACAACAAAAAAATAAGAAGTAGGTTTTGATAACTGTCAACTGACAAAATAGAGATCTTTACATTCCATTTTAAAAAAATTCCGAATTAATGCGTACTATAAATATTCTTTTACAGAGGTATTTCTACTTGAAATGTATACAGGGTGTTACAAGTTTGATTGCCTTAATTTTAATAGACGATATAATACATTAAAATAAACAAAAAAACTTATATGACAGGGGTCCTAAACTCAAAAATTTCCGAGAAATTATCAAAATCTCCGACTTGATGTACAAAAGTTCGATTAATTAAGGAATATTGACATAACTGCGCGCATAGAATACCATAAAATACAATGTTTATCACTTTCTTGAACTTCTTTATGCTTAATTCTAAAAAATAATTAGCGTTGTAATAAATTTAAAATTCGATAAAATTCATATCGAGCAATGTAACAACGACACGCCGGTTTATTAACACGAGGTACTAAGGTGTCCAGCAACCACCAATACGCAATTCAGTTGGTATCTGGATTCGACCGTGTCGGAGTGTTTTTTGCGTACCACTATTTCTTGAGGTGTTTTCCAGCGAGTGCGTGAAAATTGGCTTCGAAGGTGTCGTGCGTACATCGAAATGGTGGTGGACATTTTGAGCATATGTAGTAGTTTGTTTTGTACTTGTGCGTTTAAAAATTACTGGATTTTGCTTTTTGGTAAGTACCTAAATTATTTTTAATACGAATGATTACATAGCCACACAGAAAAAGAAAAAGTTGGGTATACTTTTCATGCGACATATATTTTTCGTAGTAATTTGGCCTCCTGAACACGAATGAATCTGGGGTCAGAATTGGCCCATCACGTCACAATTTTTTCCTAACCTCAAAAAACTTGTGAAAAACAGTGAAAATTGATGAAAATTTACTGGGAAAATTTGGAAAAAAATTTATTTCCACATCAAATAGTACATTTTTATGTAAAAGACTCTGCTGAATTCAAATCCACTGTCAGAATTAAGCTAGAACGTGTTTTTTTTCTAACCTCAAAAAACCGAGTAGGAATCGCTATTTTCAAATTCTGAGCGGATTTTGACCAGATTTTGTATAAAGAGTTTTTTTGGGTCGCTGATTACGAATATGAATTCACATTGTAAAAATTCAAGATGGCTGATCCAATATGGCGGTTGTACGTTTTTGAAATCCACCGATTTCAGTAAAATTTGGCATCATAAGGATTGCTGGTTGATCTCACCTTCATTAATCACACATCTGGAGCCAGATTTTCATATATTATAATTAAATTGTTTAAAATGCAGGAAAGAAATTCCTTATATTTTATAATACGTTTATCACATTTATCTACTTCTGTAGATGTTTACACGACAAATCTAAAATAGATGCTTTCCGTTTTGGTTTTGCGAGATCAATGGATGGTCTAGATCAGAGGTCCTCAAACTTTTTTGACTCTTAGACCACGTACCAATTTTTTCTGTTTTAGGTAGCACCTCCGTCTTTCTAATATTGAATTGTTATAAATTCATCAACTTCAAATGTGTTTAGACAACTGACACAGTGCAAGTTTTTACAAGTTACCAAGTGTTGAGACCACAAAGCGAATAACCTATTGCACAATTTTATAAAATATACTTAATATGTAATTGAGTGTAGTAAATAAAATCATTGTTTACTATAAAATTTATAATAATTCTAACAGTTTGATATACAAGGCCATACATGTAAATCATATTGGCCATTTCAGCATTTGAATATGCAAAAGCCATTATTAAAACTTAATCTTTTTAGAAAATAATCTTAATTTAACAATACACAGTATTAAATAAGATGACGGCTTCTTATTATTATTGTTTTGCATGGCCTTCCTATGATATGTTGCAGTAATTATAAATGTGTAAAAATGCACTTGATCAAATAAATCAATTTTGTTGTTAATCGGTTTGGAATATAAAAAAGTCTAAAGAAACAAAAAGTGAAGATAATACAATGACGCATATGGTGACCTGTTTTATTTGTAATATTATACAGAATGATAGACATTTTTTCGACAAATAATGATCGATGATACCCACACCTCCGCCACTGGTAAGTTTCTAAAGCTGGTAATTTTTTGTTTCATACCTACTATCATACTAAATATGCACACCGAATTTGATTCAATTATCTTAAGAAGTTTATAAATTAAAAATTAAAAACTGATTTTTATTTTAGTTTTTGACACACTGTAGCTGGACAATGGTTGTCCTAAGACCCCACATTTATAGCACAAAAAACTCTTATTTTTGACCACAGAATACGCCCCTGGATTAACAAAAGTATAACAATAATTTTATAAGTTAAACGAAATAGGTTGATTGAACTCAACAGAATATTCCAACAATTAATTAGCATTAATTAATAATATTCAAAGCAATTAAGTTATTGGTTTGGCCCGGGCGACGGAGAATGATCCCATCATCGATCTGGAATTTTCCCATGATTAAAGCATGGAGTGTAAATAAAGTTCCCCAAATCTAGCTCCAAATCTTCATCATGTTTCATAATCACTCGTGTTTTAACAATTTTTACTTTATATGTAATTTATATGTTTATTATAAGAAAGTATTATGTAAGGTACCGAAAAGTGGTCGTATTCTAGTTTTTAGATCTTTCGGTCGAAATTTTTTGGAGCTACGGTCCACGAACTGAATTTTTTTTTTCAGCTAAGCCGTTGCATGGACCAGATAGCTTGTTTATTCACCTTCAATTTCCTTTTTTTTTAAATTTCGATACGACCATTTTTCATCGAAATATCGGACTTTTAATGGAAAAGCATCCTATTGTCTTCAATCATCGATATCTCGGTGCCAAATGGTCCTACAGAGAATTGAAGGGAAGTTTCGAAAACTGGAATAAATTTTCGTCTTTTACACGAATTGTAAGAAACAGGAAAAAAGGTCAATTTGTTTTTTTAGAAAATTGACGGCTAAATTAGAAATATTCACGAAATGACTAATGTTAAGCATGACTTTTACAGTTCGATATAGGTACCCAGAAGAACCGTGTGAAGTTTTAACTCGATCTAGCGAACCGTTTCTTAGTTTCAAACAATAAAACTTTTGAAAAAAATTGTAGGGTCGCGTTTTTTGAGCTTAAACACTTCATAATCATAATTAAAATGGAAAAAAAATGTTTTTGAGGTTTCTTCACATTTTTACCGCAAATAACGTTTAAATTGATGAAATTTTTTTCAAAGAAAAAGGGTAGCTTTGAAAAAAACTGTTTTTTAAGTGATTACAGACTGTACAAAAATTAATTAGAAATTTCTGTCAAAAGTCATCAACTTTAATTTTAATTTAATTAAAAGTTGATGAACAGAAGCATAGGACGGAAAATCCGAATCGTGCTGGAAACTGGATTTTGTTATCTTCGATGTCCGGAAGGTTTTCCAAAAAAAAAAAATTCTAGTTTTGAAAATTCTTCAAAAAATATATATTTTTTAAATTCTTTTTCAGATATTAAAAAGGGTACTTAGTTTTGAAAAAATTGTTTTTTAAGTGATTACAGACTGTACAAAAATTAATTAGAAATTTGGCTCAAAAACGGTATGAATCGGGGTCGAAATCTGGTTTGGGTCATCAACTTTAATTTTAATTTAATTAAAAGTTGATGAACAGAAGTATAGGACGAAAAAGCCGAATCGTGCTGGAAACAATTGGATTTTGTTATCTTCGATGTCCGGAAGGTTTTCCAAAAAAAACAAAAAAAACAAATAATAATCCATCAATTTAAACGTTATTTGCGATAAAAATGTGAGAAAACTTCAAAAAATATTTTCCGAAACGTTGCGGCAGCATGTTATAGGAAATTTATTCCAGTTTTCGATACTGCCCTTCAATTCCCTGTACGACCATTTGTCGCCGAGATATCGATGATTGAAGACAAAGGATCCTTTTCCATTAAAAGTCGGATATTTCGATGAAAAATGGTCGTATCGAAATTAAAAATGAAATTGAAGCTGAATAAACAAACTATTTGGTCCACGCAATGGCTTAGCTTGTGCAAAACCGTACTTATCTTATCAACTTCCACGTCACCTGTTACATGAGTGTTGCACAACAATGAAAAAGTAATATTAACGGTCGATAGAAGGAAGCACAAAAAACAGGCACTTAGGTAGGAAATTCTGGAAGGAAGCCTAAATAGTTGAAGATAGG